TTTCTGGGTTGCAGCTTAAAGATAAGCACAAGCAGACTGGAGGCAATGTGGGAGCTATGGAGGAGCTGGAGAACGCCTTTAGCTTGGCTGAGGAGTCCTGCCCAGGCATCTCTGACAAACTGATAGCACACATGGTGGAACGGGTACAAAGGTGAGTGTCTCTGGGGTGCGAGCTGGGCTGGAGCAGGCAGTGAACCATCAGTTGTCAAAACCTGGAACTGAACAGTCAAGACAACCAAAAAGTGAATATTGATGACAAGGGTCTATTAGTTCAGTGAAGTTACTTCTGACTGCTTTACATTTAAGGAAGCAGTTCTTCCTGCCTCAGAAGTCCTTTTGCACACTGAACAGGCTTCTGTAGTGTAGATGAATGTTGAAGAGCACAGCAAGGTGCTGCTGTTCACCTTCCTCTTGCAAACAGGCTGAGAGAGCTGGGCTTGTTCAGCCTGGAGAAGAGAAGGCTCCAGGGAGTCCTCATAGCAACCTTCCAGTGCCTAAAGGAACCTGTAAGAAATCTGGGGAAGGACTTTTTACAAGGGCCTGTAGTGACAGGGCAAGGGGGAATGGCTTTGGGCTGACAGAGGGGAGAGGTAGATTAGCTGTTAGGAAGAAATTCTTCCCTGTGAGGGTGCTGAGACCCTGGCACAGGGTGCCCAGAGAAGCTGTGGCTGCCCCATCCCTGGCAGTGTTCAAGGCCAGGTTGGACGGGGCTTGGAGCAGCCTGGGTCTAGTGGAAGGTGTCCCTGCCCATGGCAGGGGGTTGGAACTGGATGAGCTTTAATGTCCCTTCCAGCCCCCTTCCACTCGATTCTATGACATACATATGTGTGTGGGTGTGTACACATACGATGTTGTGCTGGTCCCATTACTCAGGCAGCAAGGGCTATTCAAAAAGTCATAAGATCACTTCTGGAATAGCGAGTATCTGTTTCATTGCAAGGAATGTGCTTCACAGCAGTACGTGCAGCCAGTCACTCTGCTTGCCCAGTTGCAGGTAGCAGGAAAGGGTATTTTTCCTGGAGCGAATTACTTCCTAAACCAGTGAAGGAGTATAGTCTAGTAGAATTAATTCTTTGCTGCTCAGCAGGTGCTGCATCAAAATTGCCTCCATTACTGGCACCAGGTTCAGTCACATCCATGTGCTGCAGGCAGCAATGTCGGATCCTGATCATGCATTTTTCAGGCTTTATTTAACATTAATGTGACTCACCTCCCTTTCACAGCAGGCTGGCCTAAATCTTGCCCTTTTCTCACTAGCTGAGAAACTTAACATTTGCTGCCTCACTGGTTAGAAGGCTGGAAGTGTTTTGCTATACATATGACCAAAGGAGCCATTCTCTGCTCTGGTTGCTAGTGTAAATACCAGCCAAGCTTTACAGTCTTTCCACCCCTGAGCTTGGGCTTCCTAAGCATTTATTTCTGATGGGTTTAAGCTGGTGTACTTTGCGTTGTAGCTCAAGTATCTGTTGGATGCTGTCAAGAAAAGAAGAGCCTTAGATACCAGGGACTGAAAATACTGGCCATTCTTTAGGGCTTCTGTTACTAAGTTATCCAAGCTCCCAAGCAAATATGCTATGGGTATGTTCATATCCCTCATCTAATAATCACTTAAGGGTGGAAAGAGAACACTCTTGTCTCTTCTGATTGACCCACAGAGGTCACAGAAAGTGTCCTGGTGCTGCCTGCAAAAAACTTTAGCCTCTGACTGAGCAGGAGGTAGTTGTGGATGTGTTCTGGGTGACTGCAGGGCAGCTGTTGCAGTATCATTCGCTTCTACCAGCCTAGAAATGGCATTACTGGATGGTGCAGAGGGCAAGACACTGGGGTTTTGTTTTGGAGGGCTGCAAGAACTCAGAAGCCTTGGTTAATTTCTTCTTCTAAAACACCAGTGCTCAGAATTTGTTAGCTTGAAATGAGGTCTTAAAAACCAGAAAGAAAACACCACCACCACCTTGGCTTCTTGTTAAACAGCTTGGTTTTAGCTTCAAGACTTCTTTATGTAGAAGACTGTCAGTGGTGATGGGAGTGGGTAAAAACATCCAGACCTACCCCTTCACCCGCAGTTGCATGGGTCGGTGCAGTGCGTGGGGGCTCGCAGTGGACAGCAGTGCCCAGTTCCATGCATTATTCCTTCCTGCAGGTTTTCACACAGTCGGAACCACCTGACCTCTGCCCGCTGACACCAACATTCCCTGCTGCTGGTTTGAGGGGGAAGAATGTTTTCCAGCTTCATAAGAACTACATCTCTACTCCAGACCACCATCTGCTGTTGGATGCAACATTGTGTTACGGACTCCTGGACATTTCAGAGCCTCCACATTACACGGTTTCATGATAACCCGGGGGGGTTTGCAATGCAAGTACAATTTAGACCTTTTGCAGAACCCGAGATGGGTGGTCTAATTGTTTTTACAATGTAATCAATGCAGTTTTTAATTGTTTCCCTATGGATGTATCCATTTTGGCTTGGTTTGATTCACAGCTTGTTACTGGTAAATGCCCAGCTGCTGGAAAAAGAGGGAGATTCTCTTCCATTAAGGTATATTTCAAAGGCGAATCCAATGGTTTTAGCCTCCTGTGCTTCCTAAAAAAGTGTTTGTGAGCAGTAATGTGTATGTGCAGGTATGTTTGGAAGCTCTTCATGCATGGAAGATTTCGTGCCTCTGGAAGTTTGAGCAGCTCTCCAGTTGTTCTGGAGGTTTGCTTCAGTTCCTTCACACACTAGTAGTGAAATGCTGTCAAGTACAGCAGCAGCTGAGCTAATCCACTGCTGTTCTTTCCCAGCGTGTCCTTTCACAGGAGGACGGGTTTGCTGACTACTTTTTTTGGCTCTGGGACACATTTTGTATGAGGCTTTGGTACACCTCCTTCAGGCAACAGCAGAACCTGCCTTGGGTCTGCAGGGACTGGAAGGCAAAGTGGTTACATTTGGTTTGGGAGCTTGTGGAGTTCCTTTTCTTGGTGCTTTCTGCAACTTGAAGCAACTAGAGATGCAGTCCTAAGGCTCTAAGCGGAGCAGACACCCTCTGTGCATGCACAAATGTTGCAGAAGGGTTCAAAAAAGGGGGCAGGCGGGGACACAACTGCCAAAACTGCTGACGGGGCATCAGTTTAAAAGGCAGCTTGCCATGGAGGCAAGAAACCTGTCCTCTACAGAAAGGTATCAGTTGGATGGCTAAGCAGCAACGGTATCCGTGTGGTTGGGGGTTCACAAACGCTTCCATCAATCTTCCCTTCTCAGCTTTCCCTTTCTGGCTGTTCTTCAGTTTGGGATTGGAACTTGCTGAAGCCAGAGCTGTGCTTCAGTTGCCAAGCTGTGGTGGTGTTTGTTAGTGGAGAAATCAAAGCATCGACAGCCGTATTGGCTGCTTAAGGTATTCCAGTAGAGCCATCCCTAACTAGCTTTGCATTCTGTATAATACTAGTTTATAACAAACACAGATCTTTAATCCAAGTAAATGCACAGATCTTAAAGCGATGGTAAAAGTCTAGAAAATAGACTTAGGAACATAACTTTGATAGCTGTTTGCCTAGAGATCTGCTCTCTAATTGTGAAGATATTCCCATTAGGCCAGCAGGACCCTAGCTATCCCGACCTCTGTTTGGGTGTCTGGGTGTGAATGATGTGGCTCCCTCAGAGCCACTGAGAATAAAAGCTGTAGCTGTTCAGCAGTGTTTTAAAGATAGGCCACTTTGTTAGGAACGAGGCGTGAGTTTTGGTACTTTGATTCAGACCTGCAGATTGTAAGGGCTGGGCTAAAAGTAGCTCAAAAAGACCCTACATTCCCTAACCCCAGTGCGTGGTGTTCACTTTAGCTTATGACTATCCTTTACTCTTCATCTCTGATTGATAAATACAGGCTCAGCAAACACTATGAACAGGTCCAGTAGACAAGAGGTGCTGCTGTTTGATCTTGCTGGAGCTCTGCTGCCCTGTGGTGTTTCTCTGGGGCGAGAGCCATCTCAGAGTCTGCGTTTATGAAGAACAGACCAAACCCATTTTTTCCTCAGGAGAAGGATTTAACACGGAGAACAGGAGTTACTGAGGTGGAAGGCAGAGGCTGCAGCCCAGCAGAAAGGCAGCTGAAGGGCTCCTGCTGCTTTTGAAGTTGCTATTTCATGATGGTAGCAAATCACGTCAATAAGGTACCTTCTGGTATTACTCACATGCACTGCAGTGTAATGAGTAAACTTTTCTAAAGGAAACAATCCCCACAGACTTTGCCCAGTATTCAAAGCAACCATGGGTTTAGTTTTTAAAAACGTTGAAAGGGATCTGCCACTTTCAATAAAGTAATAAAACAAATGAGGCTGCTGTAACATTGTATTATTAGGGGAAAATGTATGGGTCCAAGCTGCTGTTCTTTGCATTCTTTTTGGTCTTCCCCTGCATCTCCCTGCCTCATGTAAGTCTAACAGTGCCTTGTGAGACAGACCTGTTGAAGTACTTGTGCAAGGAGGGAATACACCAAAAGACAGATTATGTTAATCCTTTGCTGGTAACTAGATGAACTTTAAGGTCCATTCCAACCCAACCCGCCCCATGATTCTATTCATTTCAGGCAGTGTTTGTCAGTCCTGGAGCTGCTCCCCCAGCCTGATAGCACTCACAGGCCCACTAAAGGTGGCCCTGCCACCTCCTCCACGTCATTCTGACTTGGTGCTCTCCCTCTGCTGCTTGATGCTCTATGAACTGCAGACCACAGTCTTGCTGAGTAACTTGAACACTCTAAAAAGACAGTATTTCAAATCCTGGTGCTAGAAAGCCCTGCTCTCATGAAAGAGGAAAACGCTCCTGCTGACAGCCCCCAGTAAGTGACCATGACAAAACAACTGGCACTATCCTCCAGGAAAACCACTGAATGCACTCACTGAGCAAGTGTGAAACCTTTTCCCTCAGTCCTGAGAAAAAGCAATGCTTCTGTATAGACGCTGTCCATCTTCCCATGAGCGTGGCCATGGATGGGGATGATGGGCTCAGGAATAAGAGGCTGAGAGAGTTTTATAGCAAGATGCTATTTACTTCAAACAGTCATATTCAGCTGCATTATAACATATCTAAGCAATCCACATGTATACACCTACAACAGTTAACAACATTTTTAAAAAGACACTAATAAATTAGGTACATTTAACTTACATGGGACAATGGTCATTGTGACAGTGGTGGACAAGGCTGGATCTGATCTTCTCTAGGATGTGAATGCCAAGTGAGCAGTCTGGAAAATCCCTCTGGAACCCACAGTCCTCATCCCACACGTTACACCATAACCTGAAACAGCCTTGGAGAATGCACATGCTGACCTCTGCAGTTCCTGTCTCACAGGATCTCCACATTCCTCCATCCTCCCAACGTGCGACGCTTTTCTTTCACTGCACCATTGCATTGTTCCTTCTAGTATGCAAATACTTTTCAGTCTAATACAAAAGCAGAGTCCCTAGAGCCCATCAAAGCCACATCCAACAGCATTTTGTGGCACTTTGCTTATTTCAGTCCTTCTGTGGAGGCAACCGAATGTAACAGCCTTACAAAAACAGAACAAACTGCAAACATTTCAGATTTAATACAGAGATTTAATAGAGTCCACAGACACCGATGCTCCAACTGGAATCCAGTGACTTTCACACCTTCACGAGAAACAGAATATGGATCCTGCCCCAAATTCAAAGGTAAGAATAGGGATTTTCAGGAGTCTTTGAGTGACACAAGCACATGTAAGTGACTTTCAGAGAAGCCTGTTCTCCTGTAATGCTTAAATGCCTTGAAAACATCACCTGCATCAGAGTGGAGAGCGTGTTTGTCATCCCATGGCTTAAGTAATGCCTACGACAGGATAAAGAAACTCCGGAGATGTGAAATGAGAATAGTGACTGACCCTCTCAGCATAGAATCATAGTAGAGTTCAGAGGAAAAACCATCACCCTACCTGTACCAACCCACAATATAGCAAAACCTCAACAGCTCAGCAGACGTTCATTCCTCCCACGTCCCATGGAAAACTGCTGCCATGGCAGCTGCCAAAGAGCAGAGTTGTTCTATGAGAGCTGCAGTTTCTGATTGACATGAACTGTGTTTAAGCTAATATGTCTGTGGATCCCCTGTTAGTCCGAGCCGACTGTGCCAGCAGGCTGACAAGAACAGCTTGTATTACTGTACAGCCAACCACACTGAGCATCAGGGGAAAGGGAACTTCTGGGAGCCAGCGCTGGCACCAGCAGCTGCGAGCCAACTGCAGCACTGACAGCTGCTGTTTTTCTCCCATATATGCTGGCCATCCAGTCAAAAAGTAAAACCAAGAGGCATGTGCCTTCAAAGCAGGCAAGGGTGTTACTGTACAGGTACAACTGGAACAATAAACCTTCCCTGATGCGTGCACACTGAAGCTCTGCAGTTGTTAGGTTCTCTCTTAAGTAGGTTCAACTGAAGCAGACCTGACCCTCTTCCATACCATTGGTAGTGGATGTGATCACCATCTGCAACTCCTTCAACTCCCACTTTCCAAACCAGGTAGAAATGACCCTCCTGGTTCTTTATCAGCTCCAGACTCCTGTTTCCAGCTGCCTCTTCTGTTGATGTTTACACCAGAGATCCAGCTCTGCCCCATGTCAGTCTGTGTGACTGTCCTTCTCATCCTTTGGAAGCAGCAGGCTCGACCTGGCTGGAGAGCTGGTGGCTCTCTTGATCACCTCCATCCACCTGGCGAGAAAGGACATTAGAAATGCTCAACGGCTCACTCACAGATGCATCATCTCTTCCTTCCATTATGAGCTGTACCCCTTTCACCAAACACCACAAAACATCCACTTTTCCACCTTCCTTTTACAAGTCTTTTAGGAAATTAATTCTTCAAATGAATAGCTTGAGATGTGGTAAATACACTGTGGAACATGGCTGCCTGTCCTAGTAACAACCTAGTAACAGTGCTTTGAGCTCCACAGAGCTCTTGGAAGAGCACACTGTATTCTAAGTGTACATCCATTGTGAATTAGACATTCTCTCCTTGAAATCACATGAAACCAATGGATTAAAAAGCACTACCCTGCTCAGGTAGCTGATACATACATTGCTTATGAAGGTGTGATGCTCTCCCAAGGAAGTGAGAAGCACATGCCACTTTCTCCATACAAACACACTCCAAACCAGCCAATACTACCCTGCACGGCAGGACACAGTGCAAGGGTTTTCAACAGCTAATGTAACAGCAAAGCTTTGTACATGATGTATTTGAAACATGATTCACTTTGGACCATGTGTGGTAGCCCTAACAGCGCTGCTAAACGTTGTTACAGGGAAAGAAAAGTGAAAAGCAGCACTGCACATGTTGCTCTCAGCCTTGTGTTGTAACTCCTGTTTTCAGGAGGAAAGAGTCGGATGATGAACCAGTGAGTTAACAGTATATTATCATATACCTAGACAGACAGGGAAAGCCAAAAATTACCTCTCAAAGGTGTATTTGCTCTCAGCCCTGAAGAAATACACATGGGACTTGAACTGCAGCTTGAAGACATAATCCTTCTGAATACCGTCTGCCTCCACAGGAGTGCTGACTGCATAGCCGAGCAGTGGGAGACTGGCCAAGGGATAATCATCCTGGAACAGCCCAACAGCCCAGCCCTTAGTGCAAGGCATCTCCTGCCACCCAGCTCATCCCAACCTGCACTCATTCTTGCATATCGTACAGCTAATACCTTTGTATTATTTAGGACAAAACAGGAGGAGAAGCAGCCTTTATCTTTTGCAAGGCCTCTGACAGCTTATAATGAAACCTTCCCCCAGTCCTTTCCCTGGTTTTATAGTTCACTTGCTTCTATTCCCCTGTCCACTGCTGCCTCCCGGGCTCCTCCTTCCTCCTCCACTTCCTCTCTCTGGAACTGCAAGCAAAGATCTGACACAAAAGTTAAAATATCCCTCCCAAAAGAAATGTGCCCTCAAGGCAAGAAACCTGGATAAAATAAATAGAGTTTATTGGGTTAATAAAAGGAAAAGCCACCAGTTGCACTGCAGCACAGTTTGTTATGAAGCAGGCACTGATGCACCCCAGGCAGAAAAATCCCTGATGCCTGTTTAACTGTGCTAAGCCCAGCAGGGAGAGAAATGGACAAAACGCTGCTGATTCCCTCACCTCCATTAGTCACTGCAGGAGGTGGCATTTTCCCCCTCTCCCACAGAACGTCAGTACCATCAACAGAATTGGAAATCAGAGAATCCCAGACTGCTCTGGGGTTGGAAGGGACCTTAAAGCTCATCCAGTTCCAACCCCTGCCATGGGCAGGGACACCTTCCACTAGCCCAGTTTGTCCCAAGCCCTGTCCAGCCTGGCCTTGAACACTGCCAGGGATGGGGCAGCCACCCACTTGCTCACCTGGTGTGTTTTGTAGAAGAACAAGCAGAAGTTGGTGAAGACGACCCACAGTTTCTGCCAGCCATTGCTGTTCTTGAACTTCCTCAGCAAGTATCCAGAGAGCTGGTTCTAGCAGAGAATGAAAACTCCTGTGAAACCACGGGCCGCTTGTCCTTCAGAAAAAGACAGCAGCTGCCATAGAGAAAAAGCTTGAGGCTCCTACAACTGCTCCTGCACTTGCTCCCCTGTTGTGAAAGGCCTCCAGATATTTCACATGGCAACTGAGTGACTGTATCTTCAGTTCACTAATTCACAACTAACTTCTTATAAACCAGGCAGTGATTTCTCTCCATTAACAGCAAGTTCCCCTTCATGTTTAAGTTCTCACTGTATCTCAGTGCAATGTCAGGAGGGTGCTGCACCGACTCATCCCTCCAGCAGCCACTCTCCTTTGTGGCCAGGGGAACAGTGACAGCCAGGAGGGTGTCCATCCCTTCAGCCACCTTTTTTTATGTGCAGAAGAAACCACATAGAGCACACTGCATGAGGAGGAAAATTAAGCAGAAGAGGAAACAGAGGGTGCCATGTGGCAGCTGTGCAAAGCCAAGCCCAGCGTGGTAAGCAGGCTGCGGGGAAGTTGAGCACTGCTGGCTTGGAATCAGTCACCCAGTGCTTGTGCAGTGGGATAAGGAAACCTATGGCATGGAATGACAGCAAATGGGTTTTCCAATTAGACAAGATAGGATATGCAGTAGATTTATACATAGAGAACAATTTGGGGAAGCATAAACAAGAGGAAATACTGTATCAAAGTTATAACTCTGCTGCTGTGACATCCTCACACCAGCATATGTGGGCTCACTGAGCAATTACAAATTGCGCAGCAGTGCATTTTCCTTGGCATCTCATGGCTCCTCCCCACCAGCACAGAACTTGACAGGCATTTTACCTGGATCATGCACAGGTAATCAGACAGGGATAGGCTCTGGTTCCGGTACCAACAAACATGGGTGATTGTGTTGGGCCGTTGGGCCTGACCCAGCAAATAGCGAGGAGGAAGCTCTGGAGAAACAGCAAGAGAGCAGAAAACTGAGCAGAGAAAAGGGAAAGAGAAAGAAAAACAGAACGTTAGGATAAGAGAAGTGATGCAAGAAAGGCATCTGTTAAAGGAAAATGGATTGTGAAAAATAACAGATGGGTTAGAACATGGAACAGACGAAAGCAAGGAGCTGCAAGAACTCACACGCTTAATCCCAGAGTCTGTAGCAGGGTTGTCTCATTATCCAGGTACAGAACAGTAAGATGGTGCCTTTCACAAGGGGATCAGCAGGGAAAGGAAGGCCTGCTCCCTCCAATAGAAACCACTTTCTTTGCCAGCCAAAGCACCGAACTTCTGTATCCTAAGCCAATCCCCAGGACCTCTTTAACTGAGCCGATAGATACGCCTTCTACATCATGAAAACCCAGGAGCTTCAGTGCCCAACCTTTAACTCCTTCCATTAAATAAAAAATGCCTTAAGAACAGTGCAGGGAAGGTAAAAAGGTACAAATACAAGGATGCAGTACCCTGCCCCATTACTGTTTGTCTAGTTAGTGACCTCCTTTTTCTCTTCATGGTATTTAGATTCCTTCCCACTTCTGGAAGTTTTCCAAGCATTCCAGCCTCCAGGAAGGATTCCTACTCAACTGACCTTGCCAAACTGCCACCTGAAGTGAAACTGCAGTTCTGGTGCAACCAGTGCTCTGCAGAAGGAGCCCTGAACAGTCATTTCTCTTGAAATCTGTAGGATTCAGTGCAAAAACATGCCAGCAGTGTGCCATGAAGCCATGCTGAGTGGTAAGACCCATGGTAACAGCAGATTAGCAGACACATATTAAGTCTCTGTTCAGCATAACACAACACTGCTGTAAAATGGCACTTTCTAATGCTTGCTGCTCACCCCTGCCAGTGAGGGAAGGTCAGAGAAGTTAGATTCTCTTCTTAATTCTAGATGTAGCAGAGTAGCTAACCAGACCTCAGTACAGCAGAGTCAATCTCTAAAGGAAAAGATCATGGGTAGGTAACTTCCAGCAAGGCTGATGAAACCCAAAGGAACAAGTCAGTCCTAGGATAGCCTGGGTTTCCTCTAATATTTGCTTCCTTCAGTGCCTCTGTTGAAGCAAAACCCTGCTGCAAGGAGACAGGAGCATGTGTATGCAGACACAGACATGCACAGAGGAGGGCAAGCATGCAGTGGCCTTTTAGTAGCCCATGATCTCCCATGGATGCAGAGATGCTGCCAAGGCAAAATGGGAGATGGAGTGGAGGATGAGCAGTGGCTGAGAGAGCCAGGATGGACAGTGAGACGTGAGAGCTGCTCCCTGCAGGTACCTCAACAGCCACACTGTGGTCAGTCATGGAGACGCTCGTGTTGCGGTACCAGCACACGTGCATGGTTGTGTTGGCACGGTGGTGGCTCTGCCTGTCCAAGGAGCTACGAGAAGAGTGTGTGTCATCTTCGGACTCCTGTTCTAGAGAGACCTCATCAGAGGATCCTGGGGGAGGAGAATTCAGTACTGGTTTAAGAAAACTGCAATACACAGAGCAAGAGAAGCAGGGATTCCTGAGGAAAAAAACCCTATTTTAGTTCCTATGGTCCAGGTTTAAAATACACAAACTTGAAGTGGTTACACAGCTCCAAAAGACCACTCTGAGCAGACTGTTTTGCCTTTCATTACTCAGCTCTGCTTGGGGCAGCTGACTCAATACTGTGTAAAACAAACAAAAAAACCCCCACATTTAATCTTCAGATAATCCTTAGTGAGGAATAGGAAGAAGTGGTCCAAGAAGGCATACAACATGTTTCAGCACATCCATAACAACACCAGAGACAGGCACAAGAATGCTGGACTATAAAAGCTGATCTCCAAACTCACCCCATTTCTGGGCAAGAAAACGTACTACGTCTTTACACTGAGAAAAATCTATGTAAGAGTTGAATAAAGGACATTATAAAACCAACAACTCTGTAACAGGAGCATCTCTGCTGCATTGAAAGTTACCAGGAAGATCAGTCTAGGAAGACAAGCATATTCCTTTTGATTAAAACAAAAGCACAATTAACTCCCAATTACCATACAAATTATAAACCCACACCATCCATGTAATCAAGTTCACAACAGGAAAGATGAAAAGTACACGACAGCTGATGCTTTTCAAGAAGGCAGAGAACAGCACTTACTGTTGGAGCGATTGCATACTGAGTTCTCCAGAAGCATGTCAGATTTCTCAGTAGATTTCTTGGCCATTTCAATTGCCATGTTCAGGTCTTCCATCCACTTCCCCATCTCCAGGCGGGTACTGCAGGATGAACAGTGCAAATGGAGATCACCTCAGCCTGGAGCCGTGGCAGAGTGCTAGTGTGCTGACGGAAGGCACAAATCACTGCCCACAAGGAGCAGCCCCTTTCCATTGAACAAATACAAATAAAATACCAATTCCCCCAGCGCATGAGCTTTCCATATAGGAAGCTGTCCTCATGCAGCCTTCACCTTTACTTTCAGGCCTTGAAACAAGACTAAAAAAAACATTTAAAGCTTGGACTTTACAGCAAAGAGAACAGACAGCCAAAGGGTCACATATTCTCCTCTGGAACTATCAGCCTCAGAAGAGGAATTACACGGTCTAAGGCATCACTGCTCTTCATACAGACAGCTTCATAGCTGATGGGCTATTTCGAACATGAAATCTTGTTTTCACTCCAAAAAGCATTCTGAAGATGGGTGGCATGACCATCCTGGAAATGATTTTTTTCAAGGACAAGAGGCAACCTGAGAGACAGGACAGCTTTTAAAGGGGACATAGGATTTATTACCTGATATCTTAACCCCACATAGTTTCCATTACAAGATCCATGGCTCAAGCCATTATTATGTCATAAGAGCTTTGCTGCTCAAATATATGTATCTATATTCATTGGTATGCAGCAGCATAAGGTTTTCCTTTAGAAATGGCCACAGCGTTTCTTTTTTACCTCTGGCTACATTCCCTGTGTGCACAACTGCTGTTTGAAGTGCTATATGTACTTAAACACTCTCATCCTGAGAGAACACGCATAATAGCCATCTAAGTATTTCAGATATAAAGTAATAAAAGGCACCGAACTCACAGCACAGGGACAAGTTACACTGAAAAGTAGTCAGTTTCCTCTCCAAATCATCCTTTATTTTTTTCTCTCCCTTCCCAGCTTCCTTCATGAGATGCATGTGGGAACTCTCCCCTCCTTATATTCAGCAGGATGTTCTTAATTCTTTTTAGGTCTCTCAAACATTTGTATGTTTAGATTTCATGTTGTCTCCTGCTTTTATAACAGTTGTTTAAAGGACTGTACTGCTAACTAGAAAACAATACAATGGCAATAACAATACAAGTGTTATTTGCTGCTGCTGTGTGCTTGGTAACACACTGTTTTGTGAGGTAACTTATTTGTTCCCAAAACACAACACTGATAAAGGAGTTGTGAAGCATCCTGTGTTTGTTTTGAAGTCATGCTTTCCAGAGAATGCACAAAACACCCCCTGGCTCTGCAGCAAACAACTGAAAAGTAACTCCTTGGAGAACATATCTACCAAACCTACAGGCAACTGAGGAAATGTTGTTACCTTGCTGCCACCACTATGGTTTTCTGTGCTGAATAGATGGTGAAGCAGTGTGGGACAGCCCATTCATTCTCACTCTCCTCCACCTGCACAAAAAGAAAAGGTTTTTCTCATCACTGCTTGGTGACTGACAAACACTAAACCTGCCCTCCTTGGCTAGCTAGGAATTTGAGTCAAATACAATTACAACCCGGTTGCAGTAAGTGCAAAACAGCTACGTTTTTATGAATACCACCTATTTCAGGTCTAAGTTGTCTCTCTATGAAAATCTACATTGTGTGTTTCTACTGCCACAGCTCTAGCAGCACACCACCACATCCAACAGGGGAAGAGGGTTCTGAGCAGGATTCAGCTTATTACTTACCGGTGGGTCAAGCACTATCAGCTGCAAATCAAACACAGAAAGAACAGTCCCATTAGAATAGGGGGGTGGGCAGACAGGAGAACTGATTAGATGCCTAGGTGTGTGTACAGGGAGAAAATGCCAGGACAAATCCCTATTTCCAGATCAGCCTCTTTCAGCAGCTTGAAAATGAATGGTCAAAAGGGTGTGCTCCAGCTGTTTTGCTAAGGATGGAAGGAACAAGCTTATTGCCTGCAGACAAGAGTTTGACACACAGGCTGCTGTCACTGGCCTGGAAGCAGTTCATGGCTTTGGATCTCATGCTCTGAAAGAATGCTTCAACCTGCTTCAAGGTGAATTTCCCTGATGTTGTGATGCAACTTGAAAGCACTTACCAACATGCCATGCAGAGGAAGATGTCCGTGAATTTTGAACTGATTTGTCCCTGTAACCCCTTTGCTTGTGTACAGTAACATATCCGAGAACTGAAAAAGGCAGGAGGAATACAATCAGTGCTCTGGAGACAGCAGGCACAGCCAAGTATTTTTAGTATCTTCTTAAACAATCTGTTGCTTAAAGGCCACTGTAAACACATGAGAAAAAACCCAACAACTGCCATTTCTCAGTCAGTTTGGCCCCATTTCCTTAAAGCCACTCTTTACTTATAAGAGAGGCAATTAATCCTTAAAATTCCATTAAAACTACATGCCATTAAGGAAATGGCTGAACAGGCAGTGTTGTCACAATCACGCCCGCTCTAAAAATCCCATAGAGTGGGCTTTCAGTTCTGATTGCTGATTTTCATCACACTTTCACAACAACTTTATCTTGAGGAGTTTGGGTTTATGAAAGCAACACCCACCAGAAAGAACATCCGCTGCTGTAAACCTTTCTTAGTGAGCTTGTACAAGCAACCTTCACGGATAAACTCCTGCAGTGGAAAATAAGAAGTTAGACAAAGCTTCATCTTTCCCAAACACAGAGAATTTTAATGGTTCCTTTTTTCATCCCAGAGTATACAGATGTTGATTGGTGCCCAGCAATGATCACTAAACAGATTTGTTAAATGCCAGATGACACCTTTCCTTCTGTTTTGTAACGTGAATCAGCTCCTTGCTGCAACCAGCATTTAAATCAATGAAGCAAGAGAAGGAAAAGGAGGAGAGTTCCTGTTGGATGCCAGCAGTTCACCTATTACACTTACATCCCACTGCAGTGATTGCCATAGCATCCCAAAAACATACGCGAGGCTCCTGTACTTATGCTCAGTATATCTATCAAAAACAGAGAAACAAAGAAACCAAGCAGGAACTAGACAAAGTACTAAGAAACGAGAGTCACTGATACTAGTTTTGCCCAGTGACATGGCTCTCACCACCACTATGTTCTCCACGCAATCTCAGTCCATAGACAGAGATTGCACCAGACAGACATAAGCCGACCTGGCAGTGGATTTCCTATAGAGTACATGACATACTGCTTCCCACCCAAACACAGAGCATGGTATCCCAGTGTACCCAGTATCTGGAAACAGAAAACTATAGCCAGAGTCTAAGCAGAAACATTTTTTATCTATTCCCTAGGCCATCAAGACCTCCATGGGACCTACTATGAAGACAATTATACAAAGCCTTTACAGTTGTTCCATAATACAGAGGCAGTGACAGCAAGCACATCATTCAAAGGCACTTCCTTGGACATAAAAATAATAAAGGCTCTGGAAACTATGCAAAGGTACTTACTCTACCAGGTGCTGTGAGATTATCTATACCGATCAAGTCATGCTGCAGCTCTGTGAGCTTCTGGAAATTCTCCAGGCGAATGAGACTGTGCTGCAGCTGAGACGTCATTTCTGTGACTTCCTTCAGTGCATCTATAAGGAATATGGCACCAAGGGGATCAGAACAGAGCAGACAAACCCAGGCCACCAATTTTATCCCTGGAAAACTGAATCTGAAATTGACAGCCAGGTTTAGAATAGGACAGAATAGTTTGGAAGGGACCTACTGCCAACTTCTTAAAGCATATTTTATAGCTACCTAGGGGCAAAATGGAGACCAGCAATCAACTTCATAGGGCTCTTATGCTTCTTATATGCTTCTTCCATGCTTCTTCCTATGCTTACTTATAAACAACAAAGAGTTCCTAAAAAACCTGCACACACCCCCCCTTCTAAAAAAGGGACAAGAAAAGGACTGATTTCCAGCTTTAATCGAAACGCTAAGATCCATCAAGATTAGCCATGAGAAAAACACTTCCTTGAATGTTCAAGGCTGAGGTGTCCGGTGCTCTGAGCAGCCTGGTCTAGTGGAAAGGTGCCCTTGCCTGTGGCATGGGGGTTGGAACTGGATGATCTTTAAAGTCCTTTCCAATCCAAACCAGTCTGGGATTCTATGAATGCCAGAAAAAGCATTAATTCCATGCAAAGAGAACAGTCCATATCTAAGTTATCTTTTGTATTTTCCAAACCAGCAGTTAAGGCAAATTTTTATCTATTGCAAAAAGCTTAGGAGCCCTGCACCGGAGCATGGTAGGAGAGTAGGGAAACCTGGTACCAAATCCTTTAAGAAAACCAAAGTTAATTTTAAAACATAAGCTAAACACTATTTTTTTTTTAATTCAGCTGCCTCCTGCTGGTTTTCTGCTATTCTACTTGGTATATTCTAGTTGGCTTTTTTTTTTAGGATGTTCAAATTACAGTATTCACTAAGCAGTTGTGTTTTCAGCAATCTAAATTAAAGTTCCTGTGTATTCCATGAAGCTGCATGTGAGAGTTAGAGGTCCTGAATGGAGAAAAAGTATTCACATTGAATTTGTAGATGTAACGCTTGCCTCTCCCAGGGTACAGGCAGAACTTTGCGTGTACAGGGGAATCAGTTTCTGCCTAGCACGTATACAGCTGAGAGCTCACTCACTCCGGCAGTCAGCAAAGTCCCGGTGCTCTGCTGTGTAGTGCTTGCAAAGCCTTCCCAGGATCAACTTGTAGTGCATCAGTCTCTGAATTGGTTTGAGCAGAAATGTGTTGAGGGGCAGGTAGCAAACCTTCTGAAGCTCAAACTCCTTATACACCATTTCCAGCTTCTTTAAGCGTTTTGTTGCTTTCTCCAGTTCTGTCAGGACCTCATCATGCTTCTGCAGATAACTGGTAAACTCCTGTCGAATCATATAAAAATTTACTTGGGTCAAAGCAAAACATTAATATAACAGGAAAAAGCAGCCACTCCCTGATGTTTATGGAATCATTACTCCGCGACGACAGCACAAGTGTTAACTGTCCCATATGAAGGCACTCCAAGTGAAGATGACCTCATTTCAGAAGAAGCTACTCTGCAGTTAAAGAAGTATTTATATTTTGGATTAAACACCCTTATGTAACAGTGTATCCACAGGGGTGAGTTCAAGCTGTGCAAATAGAGGAGAGACAGTGAAGCTAATTAAATAATTCTCTATTTTCTGCTGAACGACCTTTTCTGAGGATAAACATAGGCGGTTAGATAAGCAACAGTGGTATAACACCTTGCTGTAAGTATTCATGGGGTTTCTACTTGCTTATCAACAACAATTATTTGCAAGTCAGTTCAGGTTTAGTGGAAGTGCCAAGCCTCAAGCCCCCATCATTGACCAAAGAAAAAACTGACTCAACAATTCTGAAGAGTCCACTGTTTTAATCCTTTATCTACCTTCAGGGTACGCATATTCCTGAGCATGACATCTCCAATGCGTTGATAATCTCCTTTCACGTAAGCATTGGTTCTTCCTTCCCTGAAATACACATAAGGGGAAAAAATAAGGCAGTGCAGTACAGGGGAGATCAAGGAATTTTGATTTTCTCCCTCCACCTTCCCCTGCACTTCAAGACACAAACTTCAACAAAGGCTTCCTGGGTATCTGCATTTGAAGGACTCCTTCAGTAAAATTAAGGGAAGCAGTACTAACATTAACACCTCTGCTATCCATTTTTAGCCACATGACATTCCCATCTCACTGTCTGGGCTGAAAACTTGGTACAGAAATGTGGAAGCTGTATGAAATAACAAACAAAGCCATGCTTAGAAAACCATGAAAGGAACAGAAATGAACTTGTCTGAAACGAAAGTCTGTTTGGGAGTTTAACCTCTCAGACTTCTGAAAAAATACCACATCATGATCCAACCCACATTTATTTTCGTTCATACTACCTTTTGAATGGCAACTGTATTCTAATACATTACATCTCAGGTCAGGAGAAAGCAGTACAAACATTAAAAGACTGAAAATACGCTCTTCGAAAGAAATTGTGCTGCAAGAACTGAACTCAAGTCTTAATTACAAAGTGTTTTCTAGATTTCACCTGAAGACTCATTAACCAGGTGCTGAAAAACACATACATCTTTTGGGCTTTGTGTTTCCTCTCTTTTCTAAGGCTACAGAGACAACACCAGGTTATACTGATGGTTGGACTCAATGATCTTAAGGGTCTTTTTCAGTCCAAGTTATGATAAAAACCCTGATCTGGAGTACAATTCATATGATTCTATGATATCACATACAAGGCAATAATTGAAAAATGGCCTTTGCAAAATGTATTCAGTACCTTTTAAAAAAACTATAATGTATTAAAAGACTTTTTCCTTGATTCCACTTACACAGAAATACCAGTTCAAAAAGAGATTTAGTACAGTCTTGAAGTGAGGCCATAGGAAAAGGTCACCCAGCTCACTGCCCATGGACCACACTATTAATGCTTACCAGAGTGATAGCCTTTGCTCAATCTCTTTCAGAAAGCCTCGATGAAACTCATAAATCGGGTCTATGTTAGAGAAGAGCAATGTCATCAGGCCCTCTGGCATAGCATTCTCCTTGATGACTGCGCTGCGAAACCACTGCCGGAACAAAACATACATGAGACACGTTTCTCCATTGAAGAAATTAATTGCTACCATAAAAGTTCCTGCTCCTGCAGCAATGGGGGAGGAGAAAGCATGTGCATAGGGAAACAGCAGGAAGGAAGGAGAAATATTAGCGAAGATGTAATTTGGAAAAGCTTTAAAGTCCTGTGCAAGTTTTCCAGTAGCTGGAGACACCTTGTTGCATGTCACACACTGCACTTTTTTTATTGCTTTACGTTCCCTTTCTGGAAGGAATGAAAATATTTAAGAAAACCCCAAACCTCTGAGGTACCAGATGTTCCCCCATCGTTCAGGAGAAGTGCTGGGAAGCCTCTAGGAGGAATCGGAGAGAAATGATGCTCATTGAGCTTGCAGAGAATACCTCAACTGAAGATACACAGAATTAAGGGACTCATGCTTCTCTTTGATGAAATTGAAACTAGAGCTTATAGGAACGCAACAGTCAAAGTGTTCAAACCTAAACTACATGAACAAAGCCTTTTAAAGAAAGAGAGTTGGAAGCTCAAGCTGTCCTCCAAACAAGGTCTCACTTGTCCACTCTGGGTGAAAGGAAGGGAAAAGGAACAGAAAGAAAAACAAGCAACAAAAAAAGACAAAACTCCTCAAAGCCCTAAGGATCATTAACACCCTCTGCAACTGTCATCTGCTCTCACAATCTGAAGGGACGAAGACAACAGCTCCCCAGGGAATTCTGCAGAGCTGACAGACAGATTACAAGCAGAACTGACAGCAATGACTATCACTGGAGTTGAATGCAAAACAGATTTGCACATTTGCATCCTTGTTTACAATTTTCCAAGTGAAAGTTTGCCTAAGACATCAAAATGACACGCGATGTAGCTGTTGGAGCTAACCATGGAAGGCCAGAGAAGGTACTGCTCCCCCACATGAGGGCCTATGTAACAAGGAAGGTAACATCTACATGGCTCATGGATTATGCTTTATCATAGGACTTCCTTCTTCTGATATCTGGAAGGAATTCCAAGTTTTCCCCAATTAACAATTACAAATCTGTTAAGAAAATTAAATCATTGAAGAATGTTAAACCCCCTTACCACTGTAATAACTTCCAGATCCTTTAAATACGTCCGTTCTGTAGCAAGAATCTCCTTTGCTATGAAGTATGCCTTGTCAGCTGGGCAGCGCTGGATAGAATACACAGTAATCAATCAAGTATTAAAATACACATGTTCTATTTATTACTAAGCACAAGCTCAAACCTTACATACATTTCCCTTTACTGTGTCCTAATGGAGCCGTTGATTACTAACAGGACATCTCTGTAATCAGTATCATATTCTCCAATACTGACTTTACTACAAAATACTATTTATATTACAAGATTATGAAAAAAATAGTTAATTATATATCAGTTACATGAACTTTCAAAAATCAAAGGAGCACTTTATAAAAATATGGAAACAGTTATTCCAATCCTCCTAGGTTTTAAACAATTCCCTAATCAAAGGAAGTACAGCAGATTTGCAATACAGTCCTTTTCCAAAACTATTCGATTTCCACTTACAGCTTTCACTCAAACCCTTTTGAAGACTGTAATAATTAGCTAAGAAAACACAAAAATCAAACTACATCAATCACAGGCTCCAGGGCTGCTATTTAAAGAAAAGAGAAGACAGAATGGACACGGAAGCACAAAGGAAGGAAAGAGTGAAAAGAGATGTTCTGCAGCTGCAATGAACCAAAAGCAGAGCTAGCCTGAAAACATACGTTATGAAAACAACAGCAAAATAAATCACATAACTAATACTAAGGAAATAATCACATTTCAAGCTAAGATGCTGCTTAGCCCCTTCAACACACTATGTTGTGCTGCAGTTTTGTGCCAAATCCTTGCTTGGTGAAAATAAACGACAGCAAACCCATTTGAGTTATGTCAAAATTTGGCATCCATCTTAGCTCCTCCTGAGGGTAACAAAGCCTTGACTTTTTTCCTCCTTTTTCCTTGTATGAACCAGGTTAATAAAGAATTCCCTTTTGAGAGATACTTTGAGGTGCCACCCAGCACTGTCAGCACAGCTACTCAATGCTTCCAAATCCTCCATTTCAATAATGCTCATGGAGGAGATGTTTTCCCAGTTGCTCAGTGATACCATTGAGTCCATCTTAGTCACACAGAATCCCTGGAGGTGTGTATCCTCAAATAATTAATTTTGAGAAACTATCTAGCCAGTTTCAGGTTATTTCATGCTAGATTCCATGTCCCAACATCAGCGCCCTCCCTAGAGGAACCAGAGGACAAACTCCCACATTCTTACTTCTATTCACACCATAGCCATCCTCTTAACTTTAATATACCCGTCTCAGGTACATGGTGGAATGGAAAGTCCTAACTCATCTTGGCTTCAGGTATTTTTTATATTTTCTTGAGCTATTTGCCTGACTGTAGTGTCATAAACCTTCAAAATGCTGTTTAACCTCAGTGGGCGTCCTTCTCAAGCAGCCTCTTCCCAAAGGACAGGACCATCATCTTCCTGACCTCCCTGGAGACAGGTGACACAGCCGTTGTATCTCGCTTACCCCCTTCCTCCTGCACACTTACTTGTCATGGAACACCCTGCTAATAAATCAACAGAACAACACAGGCTAGCCTGGCTGGAACTTCAGAAGTCTCCTACATTATATGAGAATTACTGCTAATAGGTATGTTTTTTGTGTAACACAGCTCTGTGTACGCTGCCTCCTGGGCTCTGCAGAGGATACTATAGCGCACAATGCCCTTAAGGAATTAACTTCCATGGAAAACATAGAGTTTCCCAAGGCAAAGCAAAACTGGGTATGGAATGAACCACAGGCTGTGACAACAGATCACAGGGAGCCTCATCTCTGTAGCCATGGCAGAGATGATCCAGCTGCGAGTTCTGCACTACATCACTGCACGCATGCGTATCTGCTCATTTCCCCTCCCAGCATCACCTCTCCACCCTGGAGACTCCCCAGAACCCTCCTAGCTCACCTGCGCCTGCCACCGTCTCTTACTCATTTAAACAACTGCTTAAAGAGTTACTCTCAAGGGAGGTACATCATCCACTATATTCCTGAGGACTCTGGAAAAGACCCTGCCTGTCCCCAGTTCACACCTTGTCCTTTGATCCTCACTTGATTGATTTTTCCGCTCTCTCAAAAACATTTTCCTGTATTGTTTCTTCCTTGAAAACATACAGAGCATGAGGGTGTGTGCAAGTAACACCATGCCCACAACCTCACACCTTCCATACCTTGCACAGGCTATCTTTTTCATCTCCTTTGAGCACTTCTGCACATTTTCACTTTATTCTCCAGCTGACTGCTTGAGGCACAGAGATGCTTTTCATCTCCTGAGCTCTTCTTCCTTTCTCCTTCCCCATTGCATCACCCCTTTGAGTTTATTCCCTGAAGTTCCTGCTGCTTTCTTAATTGCTCCCTGATGAAATCTAACGCCCTTAATTTTCTTTTTTTGCAGTGTTTCGGGTCCTAACTGAACCCCCTGTGCTGAGTCCTGGCAGCAGCTGCAAGGCAGACCCTGTACCAGAAGCACCAAGAAGTGGAAGGCTGTCACAGTATAACGGAGGCCCTGGCAAATGCCTTCACTACTGGTAAGGCACTGCCAGAGGAAAGCAAATCAATTCACGACTGACAAAAAAACCAAACACAAGAACTCTCTAAGGGATCAGTCTGCTTCCAAAGTCCAAAGGAAACATTCCTACAGCCAGAGCAGGCATCTAGGCAAATATCCTCACTTGGAAAAACTAATGTTTCAGCATACGATGTACACACAATCTCACCTGGAAACCTTCAAACACTCTCCAGATGCAGCTCGCACCAAGTGAACTGCTTGTGTTGAGTGAAAAGCTCTATTCTGAACTCATAAAGGCCAAAACCAAAGGATTATGAGACTAAGAAAGACCATCCTGACTGCCTTGTACCTATGTTACAATGTCACAAAACTACCAAATCTGGAAAGAAAAAACAAATAAAGAGTAAGTCCATGCACAGAAAAACTGCTCAGCTTTTGACTTCAGTGGTGATAAAAATATCTGTGAGGAACTCACAGAAAAAAAACTAAACCAAAACCACAAAACAAAACCAAAAAACCCACACCATAAAAGCCCAGCTTCTACGCACTTTCCAAGTAGATCACTACAATCAACCTCCATTACAAAAGGAGACATTTACCAGTAAAATGAAAGAAAACAGCGACTCGAAAAGTAACAAAAAAACGCAGCTTTCTACAGCAACAGCAGCATCACAGCAGCATGGAGTGGAAAGAGCTGGGTCCTGGCAGCAGCTGCAAGGCAGACCCTGTACCAGAAGCACCAAGAAGTGGAAGGCTCTCACAGTGTAACGGAGTATCACTGTAAGAGCTGAAGAGTTTACATACAAATGCCCTGATTAACCAGGTGGAAATACAGTCCCCTATTAATAAAGCTATTGTTAAGATGTTGTCCTTGTACAATAAAGCTGCAAAACTGCTGAAATTCAATTGGTTAAATTTAACCCATTTAACATCAGTTTCTGCCTGGGCTTGTTTAAGTTAAAATACTGTAGTCAAATGGGCATCAAAGCCTTAGAAGTCTCTGAAATGACCAAGCTTAAGACTGATTAAAATAAAAAAAGTTCTCTTTCAAGATTCTTTTATAAATTCATTTCAGCCTGAATGAGAACTCAAGCTGCTGAAATATCACATTGGGCTTCAGCATTTAGGAGAGACAATGCAGTCACTGCATGTATTGTCCATGTATATCCCTGCTATAAGGATAAACAAGAGGAGGTATTTAAAAAAGAAAAACCACTGACAACTAACAGCAGAGCAATTTGTCAATGCTACAAACTCTTATCTCAAAAAGTCTAAATGAGATAGGGAGGCTGAAGATTGGGGGCAGGTGGGTGGAAACAACCCACAGAGATGGATCGTTTCATCTCAACTCTCAGTTATTGGTTAAACCGTCCTCTCTCTTACAAGCACTTAAGCACACTGGTCCCAGCAGCAGAAGCCAACACAAGACCTACACCAAGACATCAGTGGAGATTCCCATCACAACAGTGAGAAACACAGGCCTGACCAAACCTTCAGCACTGGAGTTTTTAACACTAACCACCCAACGCATCTGTTCTACTACAACATGTAATGCAATCAGTACTAAGTGACGGCAAGCACAGCTCCTCAACTGAAACCATCACTTTCCTTGTCGCGTTATTGTTTTACCTTACGTTTCATTTCATCATCCTCTTCTACCCTGGCACCACCAGCATCACTAAGGACAGGACTCAGAAGAGGAGATGAACCCTGGGCAGCTGCATTCAAGTTCGCCTGAAATGTCGGGTTCAAGCCTAGGGGATTCTTCAGCACGAGGGAAGAGAGCTGAGAATGGTCCACTGGAAGGCCTGGTGGGAAGAGAACAGGAAGATGGAGTGGAAAAGGAGAGAACACAGTTTTGAACATAGTTATTGTAAAGCATTAATTGTAATCTCACATTATTAAAAGGCAAAAATAAAAAGAAGACATATACATCCAAAAACTGAAGCATGCATCTCAAAGCAAACTGAGTGTTCCTTGCAGCCCAGCTGTTACCTGGCAGCACAGTAAGGGCAGACACCTTTACAAGCACATTTAAGGTGAAGGGTAAATTGCTCAGTGTCTCAACAAAATGCTTACATTCAATGGATTTTGTTGAGCAGCACCAGGGTTTGCAACACTGGATTATACTGCAATAACAAGAGCACGGCTTTTAATTTTTCTTTCTAAAAATCAGAATTCATTTTTCCTCCAGCAAAAAGCTGGGACAAATCATTCCGCTGCTTCTCTGTTCCAGCAGGTAAAAGCTCATTATTAAAAATATATTCAGAAATCTTCAAAATCATACAAATGGGAGAGGAAAACCTACAGCTATACAAAAAAGGGAGCATGCAAGAGATTTCATTCCTGGCTGTTCTAAGTATTTGACCAGAATAATCTACTGATCTCAAAAGGAAAACAATTTTGCAGCACTGAGTATTAATTGGATGGGCAAAGTCCTCTTGCATGGCCCAACCTGTCTGAAGCAGGAGTAACCTGTCCTGCTTTGCTTTCATTAATTGCCAAGATTTTTTATTATTACTTCATTTGTGGACCCTTTAGAGATTTCCAACACCTAAGGTACCGTTACAGCGAATTGAAGCCTCGGAACAGTAGCTGCTCTCCTCTCTTCTGCAGACTTCCCTTGGGTGTTCATCGTGAAAATAACTTTTCAGGAATACCTACTGCTTTCTGTGACCAAACACAGGTCACAGACACTCCAGGTACTCCCACAGTGCCCTCAGAATTCCTACCTAACATCACCTATCTATGTTGGGTTTTCCCCCTGGTCTTCCCTACAATAAATAGACAAGCTTTGTCAGATCAGGCCACTGAATCAAGCACTTCAGTACCTACAGCTTTCGCTACCCTGCTCAAATGCTCAGCCATGCTCACAGCCCTCCCCAGTGTGATTTCATTGTGTGCTACAAGCAGAAGCAAGCGCTAAATCACCTGCCTGAATGAAAGCCAGGAAAAATCAACAGCGACGCAAAACCTGCCAACTCCAGACCAGCTACAAATCATTCCAAAATGAAAAACAATAATTGGCCCCCATAGCTCTCCAGTATCTCCTGACACATTGACAGAGCATGTGTGCTGGAGGAGAAGGAGTCAGGAGCTGCTTGATTCCTTCCTGGCAGGAGCTGCTGCTGCTCTCTGGCTCAGGAAGCAAAACCACCGCAAGGCGCCGGCAGCTTGACAATGGCGAGGGAGCCCGAGTGCGTGTTTTCACATTGACAAATGCAGGAAGCTAAACAGTGCTGCACTCAGTCACCTGGAAGAGATTCAGACCATCGAGGCGGAGGAGTTAACTATTAACATACTGGCCGAGTACAGTCATTCTGGACCAGATTTTTGTGTCTGCCTGAGCCTCTTCTTTGTTCCCACTGCTTTTAATATTACCACTGGAAAGCAACAATGCCTGGCATTTGTTTCACGTCTGTGGGGACAGGAGTGTATTGGAAGTTTGCTCTTACATGCCAGGGATGCCGAAACAACAGCTTAAAACCAAGTAAAATGGCAAGTGAGGAGCTTCTTTAAATTCTTGGAGTTTACCACGATGTTGCGACATGTTCCAGAATTTGTAACTTGAATTGCTTCTGGACAAACAGAATGTTCGGATACAAGGGAAACAAAAGGGATATAATCTGCTCCAAACTCTGCCACCTGACTATTACAATCAAGTTATTCTAGTTTTTATCACCTCCAACAGAAGTTGGACATTAAACTCATTTCAAACACTTGCTCATTTGTATCTGACACCGAGAACCCTGTTGCCCAAAGCCAGAGAGATTTATGAAAATGAGGCACATGAAGCTCCTCAAGAAGCCTGAAACAACAACCAGCAGCCAAGATGCCAAAGCACAGGGCTTCTCCTCACTGCCTGAGAGGGGGCAAACCTACAGATGCAAATGCCTATCACTTCTTCAGGGACAAGAGTGCCCTCCCCTGCACACCAAGAGTTAGAGGAGGAGACCCTGTACCCCGATGTGTATTTCCCTAAGACAAAAGCAATAAGGAATTCAGGAAGGAGCTGTTACAGCTGCAACTTAAAGCTGTCAAAATAGCAAATTCTGCAAACGACCTTGCCAAGGTCCATATGACTTCTGAAAGTTGTCTTGTCTAGAAAGGACTATAAAGTGTCACGAGCAGTTGGGTTAGCTTCCTGCTAACATGTAGTGTTTGATATAAACTCAATCTGATGGCGTATCTTGGCAGATGACGTTACAAGCATGTACTGACATTTTCATTCTCAGAATCCAACAGTATTTCTCCACTAGAGCAGCAAGGGGGGAGCTCCCAGCCAAGCAGTTTAGATGTACAGTGATCCTCTTATTCTCCTGAGGAAGGACAGCAAAGGGAGAATCCATGTAACAATCAGAGCAATCGTAGCCTCTTTCTGTCAATGTAGAATTCATGCAGAGATGAAAATGCAGGAATTATTTCCTCTGACATCAAATCCTGGTGCACCATGTTCTCCCCTGCCCCGCAGGCACCAGCATCCTCCAGTATATTAAAATGGGCTATTCTTGAGAGGGATGCTTCCATGTTTCAACATACTGCATTCTCCAAGCTAAAGTCAATCTCTACACAGAAATTCAGACTTCAGTGCAAACCCTGACAAAAATCAAATGCAAGTACTGGTTCTGTAAGCATTATGCTTGAATGCTTAAAACAACTTGAAGACGGAAAACAAAAACAGTATCCCAATAACAGAGCGTTACTAGATGTCCTAAAAGCTATGCGAAGTTCAAATTTTGCTCCTTATCACAAAGGTGAGCCTCTGGTTTATTCCCTTTAAAGATGTAACTTTATTATTACTACTACTACTGCTTCAAATAGATGACATTCTTTTTATGCTAAAGCAGTGGCTGATCTTGAGACAATGGGAGCCTGCCCACAGTTCCCCTGTGCCCAATGCCCTGCTGAACCCATTGCACACACAGACCAATTATTTCTACAGTGCAAGCATTCTGCAAGCTGATGTCACAAAATCAGTCAACTACAACTGAAATCGTGGAAAATCCCTGGTCTACCTTATTTCAGAATATCACAACTAATACGTTTTTCCTCTGCAAATCTTCTCTTTAAAATAACGAGGGATAGCTTAGAGTTAGAGAATATTAAAAAAACGATCAAAAACAATCTAAGAGCCTAAAAAAAAATCTAAAAGACTTTAAATTCAAAGATCTCCTTTTTATATTATACTAAAATGATCACATTACATGTTAAAGCATGTCTATAGCACTTGACATGTGCCCCAGTGAAACTGTATGTACCCATGAAGATACACCTCCATGTGATGCTGTAGGAGAGTCCAGTTTTACGGCTGTGTCAGGACCTGAAATAACCACCCTTCTTTTGCCACCTTCCCCTTCCCATGCAGGCAAGAAAGTAAGTGTAACTGTTGTTATAAGCTGCAGACTGTAAACGTTTACACTGACACAGTGAATATTCAGTCTGACTGCAGTGGGGAAAATTATCTCAGACAGACCCAATAGAGCAGAAATCTCTCAATGCTGCACTGAAAACTTTGATCTGCTTGGGCTCAGATTATGACTGCACAAACTTCATTTGCATCATCACTAAAATGAACGGTCAGGGTTTCAACCTAAATCAATTCTCCACTATGAGGGTGGTGAGGCCCTGGCACAGGCTGCCCAGAGAAGCTGTGGCTGCCCCATCCCTGGCAGTGTTCAAGGCCAGGCTGGATGAGGCTTGGAGCTACCTGGTCTAGTGGAAGGTGTCCCTGCCCATGGCAGGGGGTTGGAACTGGATGAGCTTTAAGGTCCCTTCTAGCCCAAACCAGTCTGGAATTCTGTGATAAATCACTTACTTATGTTAGCTACAGATTTTCCTTGACTCTATACAAAATTGGTTTAATTTTGCAACCAAAACTATTGAAGCTTATCACTCTATTACAGGGTTTGAATTTAACTTGCTATGTTCTAAAATGTCCTTATGTCCAAAATGAAGTCAGAGACAATTCTGACCAATAATTCCTCCTTGATGAAAAGCAAAGTTTTTAGGAGTTAGTGTTTTCATGGTTTTACAACTCAGGAAACAAATGTGGAGAATAATTTAAAAGCATAATAAAAATTCTCCATTCCAAACAGTCCAGAAACCTGCTCTGTTAACACAGGCAAGTACTGCTGACTTTTTTTAAGCAAATGTTTACATGATTCAGAAAAACAGGATATACCCATACATTGTTCACAGACTCCTGAAGGAGAACTTTCAGTCTAGATAACGCGCACTTGCCTCCATACCCTATGCTTGCAACAAAGAACAGGCTTCAGTAAAACCAAATGTACAGGAGAGAGTCTGAGGGATATACCCAGCTTAAGAGATGTCTCCATAACAGACATAACTGTGATAATGAATTCTGAACTCCTAGTCCCATTTGTAACCCAAGCAAAAGGTACACACAAACCAGTAATTTGACAACCACACACCAATGTTTGCCCCAGCTGTGCTCGGCTTTCAACAAAGGGGTACAGGAGGAAAACTGTCTGGAGAAAATTGGTAATAAAACTCTAAGATGCCTTGGCTAGAAGAACAAATATTTATTCTATATCAAACACAAGGGTAATGAAAAATAAAGCTAAAAAGCCCATGTTGTCATTTATATCAAAGTCGTCCTTATTTTATTGCATAAACAATTCAAATTATGAATTAGTACAAATCTGTAGGTTCATAATTGGCAATCTGAACAGACACAAAGAGTAAAAATCCCAACATGTAATTCATTAAAACATTTATGGTATAAAGAGACAAAGTTCAAGAGATCAATTTGAAAATTCCAGCCCTCTGTTTTCTTAATGTAACC